TTTTCTCCCAAGACCCCTTCTAGCAGCAACCTGGAACATCTCTTTAAAGCGTGTTGGAAATGGAGACAAAGTGCAGTAGATTCATGAGCCCTGGATTTAAAACAGTTCCCGACGCAATCTCTTATATAGGATTCGTGTTATAACTAGTTGTTAATTCCTTCACTTCCTTCCTCAGTCTTGAACTGTATAGGACATGCAGTAATTTAGGTGATGTAGTTTATGATGAAGATGATACAGACCACAAAAGCGACTGGTGATTCTTATCGAAGCGAGGACGAAGGTGATAATCAACTTCTGCTCTGTAGAGTCTACTGAGGAAGCGTAAGGTTCGTAGGGAAAAAAACGGACAGATATTGAGTTTTAGTCATCCTGAATATGTGTCAAGGCAAACTATTCCACCTACTCATGTAAACTGAGCTAACCAGGTCATCTGACCTGGCTATCAGTACATAGACTTCATCTATAGTAGTAGGGCTCTCTAGTCAACATTTACAACGTAATACCGTGTCCCACGTATCTTTCTTAAGAATAAGTACGGCAACTGTATAAGGTTAGTTCAAATAGTAACGATGAATGTAATATTAAGCCATTACTGTTGAGACCTAGTGAATACATTATTATTACGGGGTAAATAACGTATGGTCACATATTTACCTGACTGTTAGTGGTCACCGGTTGGGCAGGAAGTCTGCATGACATGTTGTGTTATGGAAGACACAGATCACGTGATAGTAGCCTTCGGATACTAAATAAGAGGCGGGTATTACAGATGACACAACAGGCACAAAAAGGATTACATATAGAAACACACCTTCAAACATCCACCGAAACCTTAGTAGGGCCCAAAGCAGTATTGCAGTTCAGATAAGAAGTGTGCAAATTGGTCTCAATTCTTATCTGTATCGAGGGATAGTTATCGGAGTTATGAATCCAAAATGTCTGTGTGAATATCCGTCTCAAAACGTCGAACATATGGTATTGGTGTGTCCTCAGTCCGCAATGGGAAGTGAAGAGGTGCTTCAAAAGGCAAAAGATAGGTCATTTGCGGCATTGATGAACAGCTCAGACGATATAGAGAGCATCACAAAATGGATCCTGGCAAAAGGCTGATTTGAATAATTCCGGCTTGCAGGAGAAGTAGAAATAGCATTGGACGAAAATATTAGACTATGTGGACAAGAATAAGACGGATTTCACACTGTATAAACAGTGTAATCGCACTTCCTGTAGGAAACCTCGGAAAACTAATAGACACGAGACAGACAGTTCCTGGGCACCTACTCCACTTGAAAAGGAGACGCCTCAGACCACATTTCGCACGGAGAAAAGTAAATGGATGATGGAGTCATGTCTGGATAACTCAGGGTTTTTGAGACGTTCCCCTGGGTGGGTATTCCCGGATGAGGGTTGACTTGGGGTGAAGAAAAAGCCACCATAACTTCGCAGTGGGACTTGCAAATGAAATCTGAGGCATGAGTGCTCTTCCTTTACGTTGAATCATCTGTTCTGTACTTTTCTTTGATATTGTGTCATAGCTAGATAGCTGCATATGCAATTAAAATCTGACGCAAAAAAAAACAGACGGACAGTTTTAGAGGGGTTTTACTGAATTTGGTTTCTTCCTGTGTAAATATTATAGCTATATATACCTGCATGGGCCCATAGGGTACCTGAACGGGCTAAATGAAATCAAATCAAAATTATTGCGCTGTCAATTTTGATGCACGTCTTCGTAGTAAGCTCAGGTCTACTCAGTGTGGTTGGCTGAGGACAAAACAGGATTGTCATTCATGAAGTTGTCTGCTACCAGTCTTCATATAGAGCGATGACTGGAATATGACCGGGCCGTCAAGTAAGCAAGCGCCACAAATTGATTGATACAGCTAACATTAGGAGATTTATTTGTGGTGAAGATTTGAGATTTTAATTAGCAAAAATTATCAACGGGCAGCTGTCACTGCCGAAAAGAGAAAGTCGACCAAGAGTCTTGGGAGTGGATTTCGGATGATTATGACGTGTGTGGCACCTGACTTGGCATCGAATTACACTGTTGGCCGAGGCTTGAGGTTTGTTGGTGGGATTTTTATTGCACCACTTGGGTCCATGACCTTTTAGCACGCTGAGCTCAACTCTGACCCAGGCAGCACCTCGCATAATGCTCCTATCCGTTTTGGTTACTTTAAATATCAATTACATTTTGTTCATAATAGATAGCAATTTAGTTCATTATTCACCCATATAATACAGGGGACTAAAACTCAACACGTATCCGTTCATCATCGGGTCCCGGAAAATCATCCTGGGGGTATGTAGTATACCAAGGAGGCAAGCTAGTTGCAAGTGGCTCCGGTCCACTTCCCGGAGCAGAGGTATTCGACGCAGAAGTTGTAGGTGCCATGAAAGCCTTGAAGGCTGCAATAGATGTAAGAGAAGACTTACTGATCTGCATTCTTCTGGACAACCAAGCGACCACCTAGGCGCTCGAAAGAAGAAGATCTAACTCCTCGTAGTCGGTGGTGGACAAGTTTTCATCGCTGAGACACAATAAGCATGTGGAAATACGCTGGATACCCGGGCATGTGGGGATTCAAGGCAATGAAGAGGCCGATAAGCTGGCCAAATCAGCCTTGGGGGCTCCCAATAACCGGTCACTAACCTCAGCTGCGCCCAGCGGAGAAGATCAAGATCTAACCTTTGCGGCATTAGGGAGGTGGGTTAAACAGCGTAGCCAAGAGCTCGTGGAAGAGTGGTGGCAGAAGTATCGACCGAAACGATACAAAGATCTGGACCTATTCATGCGTTGCAAAAGACCATCGGAACTAGCTTTACCAAGATGGGCGTACCATCGTCTTATTGCGGCAAGAACAGGCCACGGGGACTACGCCGACTACCATCGACGTTTCAACCCCGAACATGAAGATCTGAAATGCGTTTGCGGCCGAGAGAAAAGGCCCTGGCATTTTTCAGAGTGTCGACCTGCTTTGCTACGTTGGAGAATCTATGAGAAAATGGCCCCACCTGGGGCCAGGGAAATGATAGGGGAGAAGGGATGGCAGAAGTTCATTCAATTCTTAACTACAAGCAGATGTTACAGTCTGCCGAAGAATGAACTGGGTGGGAGGTGACCACGCTGAGATTGTTTCTGACCCGAGAGAAGATGGGTGTGGAAGATAGGGATGCGGCGCAGGGCACCGTAACTCAGACATATACTGTTCATTTTTTTTTCATTCTTTTCTTTTGTCGCTTCTGGCTCCACTGCCGGTCATGTAGGTAGCATTGAGCTTTCAAAGCCCATCTACCCGTGTCACGTCTAAATAGATGCTCGGTTCTTCCTGTCACGTAAAAGATTTCAATTTCAAATTCAGATTCAACACGTATCCGTAGTGTCCCCTTTGAACTCCCAGATCTCAATGCACAGTCTGCAGAGCTGAGATCGAGTAACACCTTCGTACTCGGTTGAATTGGGATCCCAATCGCTTTTACGGTCTGTAGCGTCATTATTTCTCAACACAACCCCCCGTCACTATTATCATGAAGCTAACCATTACCAGATTAGATGATAGAGTCGAATCAAGTCCCATCAAGAGATCACTCGCGGATTTTGGGAGGCATGCTGGCAGGATTCGGGAATTTTCTATTTGCATCTGTCTTCTTGGATAATTTCAGGCGTGTAGACTTAGGTACAAACACTCAAATGAGCTAGCCCTGTGTTATAACGACACATGTACTCGATAGTATAACTTGTTTTTTTTTTCTTTTTGCATCAGATTTTAATTGCATATGCAGCTATCTAGCTATGACACAATATCAAAGAAAAGTACAGAACAGATGATTCAACGTAAAGGAAGAGCACTCATGCCTCAGATTTCATTTGCAAGTCTCACTGCGAAGTTATGGTGGCTTTTTCTTCACCCCAAGTCAACCCTCATCCGGGAATACCCACCCAGGGGAACGTCTCAAAAACCCTGAGTTATCCAGACATGACTCCATCATCCATTTACTTTTCTCCGTGCGAAATGTGGTCTGAGGCGTCTCCTTTTCAAGTGGAGTAGGTGCCCAGGAACTGTCTGTCTCGTGTCTATTAGTTTTCCGAGGTTTCCTACAGGAAGTGCGATTACACTGTTTATACAGTGTGAAATCCGTCTTATTCTTGTCCACATAGTCTAATATTTTCGTCCAATGCTATTTCTACTTCTCCTGCAAGCCGGAATTGTTCAAATCAGCCTTTTGCCAGGATCCATTTTGTGATGCTCTCTATATCGTCTGAGCTGTTCATCAATGCCGCAAATGACCTATCTTTTGCCTTTTGAAGCACCTCTTCACTTCCCATTGCGGACTGAGGACACACCAATACCATATGTTCGACGTTTTGAGACGGATATTCACACAGACATTTTGGATTCATAACTCCGATAACTATCCCTCGATACAGATAAGAATTGAGACCAATTTGCACACTTCTTATCTGAACTGCAATACTGCTTTGGGCCCTACTAAGGTTTCGGTGGATGTTTGAAGGTGTGTTTCTATATGTAATCCTTTTTCTGCCAGTTGTCTCGTCTGTATCAATGTTTGTAGCTTTCCATCGTTTGGGGTATGCCGAAGCTCTTTGACCGACAGCGCAACAATTGAATTCGATAAATTGCACTAGCTTGTTGGCCCTCAACAACATAGCATGATCACAGAGATTTGATTATGAATTCCGGCCCGCAGCGACTGCTTTGCCTCACGGCAAACTGTTGTTCAGGCGGCGCAGGGACTAAACCCACGAACTCTCGTCTATGAAGCGAGCGATATTATCACTTATCTAATCGCCAACTTCAGCTTAATCGATTATTAATAAAATAAATTCAATAATTTTAAAAATTAATCCAAGTCTGATGCTACTGAAGCTAATTTTACTTTCCAGGACCTAGCTGACAAACTCCGAATTACTTGAACTCCGTTGCGAGAAATTTATTTCTGCTGCTTTTCGTAATTTAAACCGCCACTAGAAGAGATCATTGGAATGGATAGAGACTTGCACGGCTCAAGAAACGTTCCTCGTCATTATCAATTCCCATATTTATCTCGCCATTATCATCTGCAATCTCGTATCTTTGCCGTTTGACGGGCGTCATTCGGTCCGTTGATTGTATCAAATTTTGCGAATTTACGAACATGACATCTTTTTGCGCGGTCAATATACCCATGTAACTAAATAGGAGGTGTTTGAGATTGTCGTCAAACGACACACAAAATCGTTGCGACTGCACGTACTGAATAGCAGCAACCATTTCGAGGCCATAAGTATTCATCATGTAGGCAATGACTACAGCAGCTGATCGCTCGTTTCCAGATTCACATGAGACGAGAACTTTGCCAGCTCTAGTGTGCTGGCTCTCTCTATACAGGCTAGTGACGTGTTCATTTATCCTTTTAACTGCAACTGGAAATGCAGCAATGAGACCCATGTGTCCCGCAACATCGACAGATGCAGATTTGATACCAAGAGATTCCGCTACTTTTGCCCCATTTAAGAGCTGCGCTTGGGCCGTCGAGTTATCTCGAATAGCGAGAAGCATGGTGATCCCCTCCTGTCTGAGAAACTCAACGTTACGAGCCGCCGCCGAAGGTCCGAGGTAGAGAAATGGGAGAATTTGCTGAGCTTGGCGTCGCCATTCATATTTCCACTCACGCACTGGCTGGAAAAGTATTATGTTTCTGCTAATCGCTTCTAATACTCCTTTATATGGCTCTTCATTATGGATAGTCCCTGATAAAGTAGACAACCGAGGTGCATATTCTTCTGAGATTTGGGGTATGTGAATGTGAGGTGGAGAAGGGGCCTAGTCTATGTAAGTAGATTGACTCATTTGACTCGGTATTTTCCGTCGCAGCTACGTACTCTCCATGAGAATTCCCCAGTTCGGGCCGCTCCAACTACCTGGGATACATGTATCATATCTGATTCAGGTCGATTTTTATATATCCAAGAAACATCATATTCTGATAGGAGTCCCGAGTGGTGTTGAATTTGAGATTCTAAGCTTTTGTATCCAAATTTTTCGCTTTTAGCAGAGCTTTCTGAGCGAGGTTTCTCCTCCATGTCAAAAGACAGGGTCTATAAATTTATCTGCGATAAGGAAACAAGGCGCTGTATTTATAACGTCCGTTGGGAGAGAGCTGTTGGCAATACTAGCAAAGGTGAGGCTACAATGGTAATGGTGGTTGTGATTCTGTAGCCTTGTGGCGTGCCATGCGGGTAGATCTACCCAGCGAATTTTGGTAGCCTTTTCTTCTTTCCGGGTTTGGCGGTAATATTAAGAGGCAGAAAGAGCCAGTCCAACTCTGAGTATAGCCGCTTTTTGTTAGTGGGGATGGCGCGAGTTAACCTGGGCGTTTAAAGGTCATCAAGTTTCCGCCTTGACAATCACGCACGACTGATGTGGGGGGACATACCATGATACTCCAAAAGGCTGGTTGTAGTTCTGATGGATGGTTCGGTTGTATGGTAGTTGTGATGGACATACCGGAGGGATTTACGGCATGAGTCATAAATTTGATTGGCCTAGAGTTAGGGAGGTTACATTTCATCCAGAGCCTTAGACCGAGGGAGGAGCAAAAGTTCTCCATGATTGTTGGCTTTAGTCGATCGACTGTTTACCTTGATTGGAGAGCTTACCATTTTGGTCTAGTCATCAGTCCACTTTGTTTCATCAGCACGTGGTTTCAACTTTACTGCAATCTAGCATTTAAAGCGATTTTAGATCCCACAGACAAAGGATGAGTGTGATAAGTAAGAAATTCGACTTGCAGAACTTGCAAACGAAATGCAGAGTATTGATGTCTCAGAAGTCAATATTATCATTCGACCAGTAAACAGACACTGATGATGAGTTGAAGCTTGAAAGCTGCAAACGAATTAAACGTAATTTTTTCTAAGACTCCGAGCATATGCAGATATTCTGGTCTTGTAGGTATAGGAGCCATACAGGATTCCTAGGAAGACTTAGTATCGATCCTTCGGATCTATGAAGTTCATTCTACGACATCCAACCCTTATCCGTCAGTGGATACTAGAGTTTGGATAGGTGGGGTAGATTGGATGACAAAAGCAGTCTCGACACTGCTAGAGGACAGAAATGGGACGAGTATAATTTGAGGTCAAGGGGGAATGCGTGACCGATTTGTGGATAACGGTAAAATGTAGCCGCATCTTCTCAGAAATCAACATATACCCCAAGAGGAATAAAAAGATGGGGCTGGATGGTATTCACGTATGCCAGCGTGAATATCGTGGAAACTTTGGACTATTCTCAACATCTCTCAGTGGTCTCCCCTATGAACCTCTAGCTCTCACTGTACAGTCGAGATTGAGTGACATCATCCTCAATTCAATGAGGATTCCCAATCGCTTTCGCCATCTGTAGCATCTTCATCTCTCAATACACCCCCCTTATCACCATTATCATGAAGCTGACCACGATCAGATCAGATGGTAGGGTCGAAGCCCTAGCCATCACTTACTATTTTTGGTCATGGAGAAGTCATCCTATGCGTTTCCGGAGCATACCAAACACCCGATAGAGGGGTGGTAGATTGGGTCAAGATGGTCTCTTTTCTTACTGAAGGAATGATTACGGGCTTACTGCGTTTTTTTCTAATTCATTTTATTGTCCTTTCTGAGTCCATGACTATGTAGGATGTGCAGGTATTCTCTACCTACAGGCCAAGAATATCTATACCAGTAGAATATCCCCTCCTATGCCTCCCATATAACTCCCCTCAAACAGTACCGTCCCTCACAAGCCCTGATTTGTTCATACGCTCAGAGGGGCCCTTTGCCCTTCGTTATCTACCCTCTACAGCCAACAAAGCGATGGCCATTTGCGGGTGTATGGCAGCCGGGAAAAATCGCAAAAACCGTTGGGTGCGGAGCTCTTCTAGTACCGACATCAAGACTAGATTCGAAGGCAGAGTGACCCTTCTGAAGTGTTCGTAGAGGCTGACCGGCTGGGCGCTGCAGACTTGTAAGTACCTCGGGAAATTCACCCTCTGCCTTTCTAGCACCCTTCCCGAAGGTCGTGCTGAAATGTCAGAAAAGTCTTGACAGAGCGTGATTGCTGGTGGTAGCTTAGCCAAACTTCTTTTGTGCCGTCCAGGGCGCTGAGGAGTGTTGTTGACTCATCGACAAAAGAAGTCCTCTTGGCTAATTAGCCGAAATCTTGGAGGGCAAGACTGAACACCTGTACGCGGTGTCCTCTACGAACCCGAGAGTGAAATATTCTCCCAAAGCCAAGTTCAGTCAAATTTCGCAATATCAAAGAAGTTGGCCCACGAGGCAATGATTCAAATTACTCCACAATATCAATCTTTCACTCCCAACGAAATCGATTCCTACCTAAGCCTCATCAAGTCTACAAGTACGACCTGGTACATCCTCATTCCAATGACCACACCTCTCGTCGACTTTCTCTGGCCTCAGCCGGTCACCAAATACATGCCCACGCCGATATTTATACCCGACGGAGGAAGCAAAGCGTGGAGCACAAATCTGAGAGATAGCTCTTTGAGATGGAAGTGAGAGGTATCAGGACAATTTACAAGATGATGCAAAAGAAGAATACGTTTTTGACGGGCGTGAAATTTCGAATTTTGGCATAGAGTTTTACAAATTGAGCTTTGTGCGCGCCAAGGCTTCGCTTGCGGGAGTGCAGCTCACACTACAAAAACAAGCAGACGATGAAAGGTGTAGTGATCCGCCTCCTGGTGGTGTTCTCTGGTATAGTTTGAGTAGCCTGGGCACCTACTCCACTTGGGAAGGAGATACCTCAGATCACATATCGCGCGGAGAAAAGTTGAAAGATGATGGAGGCATGTCTGGATAACTCAGGGTTTTTGAGACGTTCCCCTGGGTGGGTATTCACGGATGAGGGTTGACTTGGGGTGAAAAAAAAGCCACCATGACTTCGCAGTGGGACTTGCAAATGAAATCTGAGGCATGAGTGCTCTTTTCTTACGTTGAATCATCTGTTCTGTACTTTTCTTTGATATTGTGTCATAGCTAGATAGCTGCATACGCAATTAAAATCTGATGCAAAAAAAAAAAATGTCAGTCCCAGCATAGTCTTCATAGACCTGTTACCTCTCTTGCTTCACATCTCAGCCGCCTGTTCCCCCTAAGATGTATAGCCCCATTAGAGCATCAGTCCCCCATAAACCAAGTCCCAACCCTTGTAAAATATGACCTAATTTCCTCCTTGCTAGTATACGTAGCGTCGTAAAATTGTAGCGGGTGATGGCTCGTAATGAATGAGGTAAGCTCCTGTTTGAAATTGGGGTGACGCCTTTATCAGTGAGTGAGTGTTTGAGTGTTTGTGTTTATTGTGCTACTTGAGTCTATGACTATCTAGCACTGCCTTTATCAGTCTTTGAGGCCAGATGATATGTGGTTAGAAAGAGGTTGGGGACTCAGAAGATAATGTTAAGTGCTGCATGATCAAGAAGTCGTCAAAGAGAGGTATGCATGTGTTTGCTTTCGACTTCCATTCGGATGCGATTCTTCTTGGCTATCCTAGATATGCAGAGCATACTGAGCCATTACACCGGCACCACTGGAAGGTGAAGAATTCGTCTTTGCCGGCGCCAATACGCGACTGGTGGGGACAAACCATATGGCGCGCGCGTCGTGGTTATTCTCCAACTTCGATAAAATATAAAGTCATTTCTGAACCCACAGATAGATTATTCAATTTTCCTGGTTTGGCGCCTTGAGGCCCATGCAGGTTTTATCGGGAGATATTTACTCCAATTAGGATGACTCAATTTGACTTTTAGAACACAAACACTTAGATTGCATTTGCTGATACCACTCGAGGTTAATCCTTACGGCGTATAACCTCTTCCGTGCATACCCACTGCAGGGAAAAGTGTGAAAACCCTGTGGCTATCTGGGTGTGCTTTCATCCTCCCACAAATACAGTATCACCGCGAGAGAGAGTGGTATGTGGGGTTTACTGGATTCGAACTAGATCTCTTCTGTCTCAAATGGGGTAGGTAATCAAGCTATCCAGGTTCTACTTTGAAAGACATGCCTATACAATGTACCGCCGCACCATCCAACCATGGCGGTGTTTACAGTGTCGCCTGCACCTTGCACAGTTCTCCTCTCATAGCGCTAGAGCCGCTAGTCATCCATGTTTATTCATTGAGTATCACCTGCATGCGCCTAATCTTAACAGGATACTAGCCTGAGCTCTTGAATAAATATGATAAACAAAGATTCAGATAAGGTTACCTTAAAGAAAGGAGTTCCATTCAACTAGTGGAAGAGCAGCTTTCAGGCAAGACTCAGTATACTTGATGTCATACGATATGTGTTTCGCGATGTCCCAGGTATAGACCCAATCATCCAGCCATTTAAGCCGAAGGAAACTGATGACGATGAAGTCGCAGCAAACACCCACAAGATGGCATTTGCAAGATTGTCGCACGGCGAGTCTCGGGCAAAAGGCGCGATCCTCACTCGGTTGAGCCCCGAGCTGGTCCCTGAGACCACGATCAGATCACCGCAAAACAATTATATGACGAGCTAGCCAAAACCAGAGTCACACAAGCCTCCGCTCCACACGAAACTATTATTGCCCAATTGTTAGAAACTAGATTCATTGCAGCTGCTGATAAATACTGCGATGTGTTTCTCAAGTGGCTGCAAAGTGTTAAAATGCAGTTTCAGTTATGGCAATTGCAGAAGAATCGGCGACAGCAGAAGACCATAAAGTTCATAAAGGACAAGCAGCAGTTTATTTGTATTTGGCATAAAAGATGTGGATTGGCTAGATATCTGAAGAGGCACGAAGACTCGAACACTGGAAAACACCCTTGCGTCACTGGATTACATGATGTCCACACTGCGAACTGAGGCTGGAGTCCGAAGCCAAGCGCCGAAAATCGCCATGATGGCTACTCCACAACAAGATGTTAATAAGCTAGATTCAGAAGCATTATATAGGCTTTTCTGGCACAAGCATAGAAATAAGTATTGCTACAAGCAACATCCGTAATTGGCAGTTGGACCTAGAGCAAAAAAGTGGCTGAGTAAGGGAA